ATTATTATATTTTTTTAAAAAATCTATTTTGACTATTAGCATTTAGCAGACAAACAAATTTGAGTACATATGGCTAATGAGGAATGGGCCAAATGGCTTTTATGCTACTCCAGGAGAAAAATAATATCACGTAAATGGAAAACATAGATTAAACAATACTCCCATTATTTCGTAAATAGAAAAAAGTCAAAAAACTGATTTTAAATTCTAAATTTTTAACTTTTAAGAGAGAGTTAAACATGAGTTACGTCCAACTGAAGATGATGAATTAGGATTAGCAAATCCACTATTGTGCTTGTTTCTTAGGTTCCAAAAATCGAAACTTTTCTTGTGAAAAATAAAGAATTGTAGCTGTCAAAAGCCAGACCCAAAAAATTGTACCTAGACCCAAATATAGACCCAAATACTCTACAAGTCTACAAAGAAAATACTCCCTAATTGTATAATCTAATGGAACCAAACCCAAATAAATGTGGCTGTCAAAAACAAAGGAAAGAAAACAAAAAAAATTGAACCTCAACTAGACAATCGGATCGGGTAATCAGATCGGGTTTGCTAGAAGGTTTGGAGTTCGCCGTCGTTTTGGCCGCATCGCACCAGGAGCGTCCTCAATTTCGGGATCCGTCCTTGTGGAAGACGCCAACGAATCCATCACAGCCTAGACGTTTCCGGTTCGCCAATTGCCGTCCCCGCCGGCGATTCCGCCCCTGCTTCGATTCCGGCGCGCGAGACGGCACAAAATTGCCGGAAGACGCCAACGATCAGCGGAGAAAAGTCGAGATGGAGAGTCGACTGATCGAGAGAGGGTGCAATTAGGTTTAACGGGTTTGAGTACAGTATTATTTGTCTATTTGATATTTGAGTAATAAATAAAAATATAAAATCTTACTAGCTAAGTTTAGAGTGCTTAACCCGTCGGGTCAGACCCGACCCGACCCAAAATTTTAACGGGTCTTCGGGTTCGGGTCATTTCGGGTTCGGGTCACAAAAATCATGTTCAAAACCCGCTAATTTCGGGTCGGGTTTCGGGTAAAAAATGGGTCGGGTCATATTTTGCCAGGTCTAAATATAAACATTAATTTCAAAACACGTAGTACTCATTCTGACAAAGGTAGTACTCATTTTAAAATAAAGAAATACTCATTTTACACATTTATCTATTATAATTATAATAAATAGCGTAATGTTCATTCTTAAAAAAACAACACTCATTCTCAAATAAGGAAATACTCATTCTGAAATAAAGTATTGTTCAATTCTTTCGCAATTAAACATTTCAGTACCATCTTCAACTTCTTCACTGCTACAGATCTTCGTCTATCCTATTCATTCCAATCCTTCAACTTTTAGTCCCACGTAGGGTTTCCATAAAGCCCCCGGCCTTTGTCGTCCCATCTCCTTCACCGGCTTCTTCGATCGTGACGCTTCTCTCCTCTTCGCGAACTTCATCGATCCTGCATCTACTCTTCAACTTCTTCAGTCCCACGTAGGGTTTCCATAAAGCCGCGGGCCTTTGTCGTCGCCTCTCCTTCGCCGGCTTCTTCGATCGTGACGCTTCTCTCCTCTTCGTGAACTTAATCGATCCTGCATCTGCCGCTCATTTCCACCGGCTGTACGGTTCTTCCCGTACAGCCGGCTTTACGATATAATTTGCGAGAAAACATGACCTTAACTATAATATGAATGAATTTAGCAACACCTAATAAATAAAGGAAAACCCTAGATATACTGTAACTTGATATACCCCAAGTGTAGACCAGCTTATCAGAGCATCAACAATGGCAAAGCGAAAATAGAATGCCACACGGTGACATGGAACATTTTAACTAATAAAAAATAGTCCAGTCAGCGTGTGGCAAGAGAATGACAAGAGAATGGAGTGACAAGTCCTACAATGGCAAGTCATTATTTTTATCACTTATTTACATTTTTTTATGTTTTTTTAAACATAAAAAAATATTTTTATGGGTTATTTTATTAAAAAATTATTCTACTTTCTTGTACATTTTTTTCATAAAAAATTTTAAAAAAATGTATTTTAATGAAAAAAAATAAAAAAAGAAGGATGAAGTGCCACACTCATGCCTCACCAAGCAAGACATTTTGGCCTTGCCATGCCATGATATGAGTGGAAGAAGATGACGTGGCAGTGCAAGACATCTTTTTTACTTACCATTGCATATGCTCTCACAGACACACATGAATACTATTGTTTGTGTCTCTGGAATGACACCCCACAAACCCCATAAATAAAAGATGATATTCCCTATATCCGGTTTTACGTAATACAACTCCTTTTGAGTTTTGACCATCAAAACTGAAACTGTCGAACTCTTGTGCTAAAATGATCTGGTCGAGGGACGAGGGTAGAGACCGATCAGCTTCAGTTGCGAGGGAAATTGAAATATTTCGAATCACAAAGCTAACTCCTACTCCGCATCTTTAATCCTGCTCTTCAGTTTTCAACCCCATTCATTCCTTCTGGAACCTTGTCCACCACTTCCATTCTAGGGTTTGAAAGCAGACTACGGCTATCTGATTTTCTGCGTTTTCGATCGGAACATCGAAGCATTGCAGGAACTTAAACAAGACCTAATTCTCAATCCGTCACATTTCTAAGCGGCCACTCTTATTTATTTTTGTGTAGTTTGGGATTGGCTTCTTGCACAGAGAAGGGAGGGAGCAAGGTGGAGGGCTGAGCCGGTGGAAATATTTATTTACTTATTGTATTGGGAAATACGGGAGAGCTATGGTTGCTCCTGCCCGGTCGTTGGGTTCTCTTGGCTATGGCGCGGGTGATGGCAGTGGCTCAAAGGTTATCACGACGACCACTTTGAAAAGGAAAACTCCATCCGAGCTACGGGTAAAACCATAAGCTGCCCCATTTAAACAAGAGTAGGAAAAACATGCCTCTAAAAGTTACTCGTATTTGATTTCTAAGCAATTGATCCATCATTTTCACATTTCTGTATACTTTCTCATTATTTACTATACTACTCACCTTTTGTGCCATTTGATATGGAGTATATCTCTATGCTTTGAATTCAAAGCTGTTGTTATTTGAATGGAGTGGGTAAATTGATCCATCATTTTCACATTTCCGTATACTTTCTCATTATCTATTATACTACTCACCTTTTGTGCTATTTGATATGGAGTATATCTCTATGCTTTGAATTCAAAGCTGTTGTTATTTGAATGGAGTGGGTAAATGTAGCAGTAGCACCATAACTGATTGAATGAGATGTGCAGAAGTGATAGAAATGATCAGTTAGTTTTATCACAAGATGTTATCTTTTTCCCTTATTGTCAACCTTTGATTGGTCTTTACCATAGCACTTCTACCTAATAGCGGAGAATAATGAAAAAATTGATCACGCCTCATAGATTATGCCTATATGACAGGGTGAGCAGCTGAAGCGAAAGAATATCGAGGAACACATAGATGAATCACCAGATTCAGTTATTGACTGTGCAAGGTAAACTTTATGCTCATTTGAGTTTTGCACTAGTTGTGTAATGCTATGACACTTGCTTATTGTTTTGTAGGAATAATGATTGGGTCATTCCTGGATCAAAGAAAGCCGAAGCACCAAAAAACCCAAGATACATCAACACTAAGATGAACGAATTATATCCTATAAGGAAGAAAATCATCCAGCTGAGGTTGCTCTCCAGAAAAGATCATTCCAAGGTTTTAACCTTACCTTTTGATTGCAGTATGAGTGTTTATTTGCCTAAATTCATGTTACTGATTCCATACTTTAAGCACCGTTTAAATAACATTTTAGCATTTCTTTCAAAAAAATAACATGAAGTCGTCCTTAATTTGTCTAGGGTTGAAGGTGTGGTTTTTTAGTTTTTAGTGTCTGATTACTCTTATGCGATTGAATAAATACTGAAGCTACCTGATTTGTCTGTTCACTCGCAGGATTATATTCCAACAAAGGACAGTGGCAGCTATGAGAGTTTGACTGGTTCTTCAAAATTGGGTCATGAGAATCAATTACAAGCTCCAAGGTAAATTAAACAGGATGGTGAATTGAAGACATTAAGTTCATTGCTCATGATGCATTATTTTCACAATCCTGGATATTTATATCTCTTCAACTATCTTTTGCAGGGCTAAAACAATCCAAAGATTTACCACAAGTGATAAGTGTACTGAAAGTACATTTTGCAATGTCACAGAGCTGTCAGTGGGCAATGAAAAACTATCTAGCTTGTCAAATGTGGACATGGTATCTGTTCTGAACTTATTTTCTTCTATCTTGCTGTTATCGAGTTATTTCTCCAACAAGTATAAAATTTCATGGCTGTTTTGTAATGGTAGGATAAAGCTTTAAAGGGGTTTGCTGCCCATGAACCAACTACTGCATCAAATCCATGTTCCGAGTCTTCCCAACACACAGATTCCTCAGGAGTGAAAAACCTTTGCTCTGAATTTCATGTACCTTGCAAGAAGACCCCTCTAGATATGACATTGAAAACTACTATGCGGCTTGTAGCCTCGAGTTCTGTCAGTTGGTCAGTACACTTATTGTTGTCATGATGGTATCTAAAACTATGTGGTAAAGATTATGCTAAAATTATTTGATGACTGATAGTATACCTTAATTTATTTTTGATGTTTTGGATATAAAAATATTTCAGGCTCATTTTCCACTGGTGTAATAAAAACTGGAGATGTTATTAAGAAGTTTGATTTCATCTCTGTCTTCATATTGATAAATGATTCTGTGTATGCTTCTTTAGGTTTCATAGGTTGGTTAATTGTGGATCGTTCAATAGTTTGTCGCAGTATGCCTCACCTGGTTGTTCAGGTCCAAATATGGCATCATCAGTACTGAACTCCAATACTCCATCTCTGAACTCATTGGATATACATTCATGGGTGTATCCACAATCTCCACTACCTCCTTCGGTTATATCCGCATTAACTTTATCTGCATCCCAGGAAGGTGATTGATATAGATGACTTCTTTGATGCACCCTTTTCTATTATTGATTTTATTTGCATTTTTTTAATTTTTCCATGATTTTAATGTACTAAAGGGAAATTTGATATCTGGAGCAACCGGCAACAAGCATGGGAGGATTCATTCAGAAGCCTTTATTATATGCTTCGCAAAAAGAAGTGTGACATTTTCTATGGTATTATTTCTTTGCTTATGTGGTAGTAATTTGCAAGACACAATACGTGTTTGTCTTTGGCCAATTTATGTTGCTGAAATTTATGAAATTTAACTTCAAATTTTATTGTGTATCACATATCCTACCTTTTCTCCTAATTTTCATTTTCCTATGTGCCATGTTTTCCATAAAGTTCTTTTCTTGTTTACTTTCCATAAGCTTGAATGTTCATCCTCTTAGGTGCCTACTCTCCATGCTTCTACTTGCTTACACTGATCAATCATAGAAACTAAGCTATATGCATCCTTGTTGTTTTTGTGATTTGTCAAACCTCACAAAAACTATAGTTTTGAAAGGCATTTGCCTTCTTTTTTGCCCGGGGCGCTTGAGGCAGTGAGGTGATTGGTCATCGCCTCCAGAGAGTCAAGCTAGGGGAGTTCCGTGATTGCCTCAAACGTCTGAAATCTGGGTGATGGGCGGTGGAAGGCGTTGCCTGACATAGGGTATATGGCTTGGACCGGGGCTGACTTCATTAATGTTAACCCTCTGTTTGGATGAGAAGAAATGGGAGGGAAAGCAAGTGCATGGTAATAAAACACACATTATGAAGCATTTTCTATTGTTTGTTTTGGAGTGAAAATGAAGGAGGAAAGAAAACAACTTGGGATCCCACAAAACAATTTTCTCTATAACATTGGAGAGAGAGAGAGAGACCCTTATTTAGGGTATCCTGCACAACCCTCCAATGTCGTCCAGCTGACCAGCCAAACCCCCTGTCAAGCCCTTCTGCCATTCATCGGGCACCCAAACCCTTGCAGTCCTAACCTCCTAATCCATCGTCATCCCCATTGGTGTCCACTGTCTATCCGCTGCCCAGCTTCAGTTCTCCACAAACAAACCACGTTTGAATTTAAAATTGAGCCAAGAAATTTCAGATCTAGAATTTAAGAAGAAATCTAGTTGTTGGAGATATAGATCTTGATAAGAAATCCAGCGTTGTAAAGCTTTGGAGATCTAAAGGGGAAGGGAAGACATGAAGGTGAAGTGATTAGGTTTGAGTAAAGATGAGAAGGGGTGCTTGAGGGCAATATATGCCCTGTCATATCATTTTTTGTTACCTTAAAAGGAAAGTGGACAAATCTTGTAGGACGACCAAAAAAGGATTATTGGACAAATACTCCGGGACAGAGGGAGTATGTATTATTACTAACATAGAGGTGCTATGTTAGTTGCGCCTCATGTTCATGATGCACATGCTTCAATGGCGCATCAAAGTGCCAAGGGTCCCTTTGTGCATGTGTATGCATCGCACTTTAAACAAGTATATATATATGTGTGTGTGTGTGTATGTATATAAATGTATACACATACTCCCTCAGTCCCATATCTTTCTTCACGGGAACTTTTATTTTTTTGTGTTTTTTCATCTTGTCACTACTTGTTTTATTGAACTTTTGATGTAGTTTTTAAATATGTAAATTTTATTTTTATATCTATACCAATATTTAAATAAAATAGATTGAAAAAATTTGGGATTTTTCTTCGTTTTGCGCAATGTAACGAAAGATATGGGATGGAGGGAGTATATATATGTGTTCTTCAAGTTTTTTCTTTGGTTGCCTTTTGGTGGGTTGCCTCGGGCCTCAAAAAACTACATCTCGCCTCTTGCCTTCCAAAACTATGACTACTAAGGACTTTTTAGAACTTGGAACTATCATAGATGGACATTTTGGATAACCTCCAAGCCTACGCCAATTTGTTTTCTTTTATCAAATTCTATTTTGTATCAAAATCACAGTTGAGGCTCTTTCTGTTTGTGCGGTTTTATTTTGGATATCTAAAATGGAAAAACAACAATCTCCACTAATGCATTCCTCTATGCTTCAATGTGCAGTTTGCTTTTCACAGTTTGTTGTCATGTTTATTGGAACTGATAGTTTGAAGGAAAATAGACGTGTCTGCAATGCTTATATATCCCAGTCAACAGAGGGTTTACGGGCACATCTCAAAGAAAATGTATGATCTGTCTACTCTCTCTCTCTTTCTAAATGAGAATGAACCTTAACCATTCGATCAAGAGCATCCAATGGCTATGCATTCAACAGCTTTAAAAAATTAACGATCATGCCTTTATGGTAATTACAATTGGTGATTGAGATAAAATAGGTAGAGATTAAGATTAGGGGCAAATTAATAAATAAAATATGCATTAAAATTAATAACAACTCCCTCCGTCCCAATTTATATTGTCTATTTTGGTTTACGATGTTTGACTAAAATGATTTTCTAATTATTTTATATGAAAAATGGTGTAGAATTAAAAAAATAAAAATTACATATTAATATACTACATCAAAAGATCTACAAAACTAGTGGTGACATAATTATTTTATTTTATCAAATGACTACCAAAAAAAAAGAAAGAAAGTGAATGAAGTTTGACCATGTGAATAGTAAATATACAATTTATTTAGGGATGGAGGAAGTACTAGTCTAATAATGATGCACTAACCGGGGAGTTTGTCGAGTTGTACTAAGTAATTAATTGACTATATGTATATACGAAAATTATATAATATTATAATACTCCGTATTAATTTCATTAATTATTTTACTGCACTATTTATTTTTTTACTTGTATATGATTATTTGTACACAAGTTCTTCCTTTTGTCCTTTACAAATAATATGTTGTTGGAAATCTTTCGTCGAGATCTACCCAACGATACCAATAGTGAATATAAAATTTTGATATTATCTTCTTCTCATATTTCAAAGTAAGAACACTAAAATTTATAAATATTTTTTATTATTTATTTTTAACCAAATAAAGTACTCCATAGTAGCCTTAAAAAAATCCATATTATTTTCTAAATGGCTTTTCGAGACGTCTCTTAATGTTACTTTCTTTGTCTCAAATTAAGACTCCGAGTTTGACTCGACATGATATTTTAAAAGAGTGACATTATATGGTTGAAAATGCGTCTAATTTAGAAAGAATTTTTAATATCCCGCTTTTCTGAATTTATCATGGAGAAATGCACTTTGATATCCATTGTTACTGATCTAATGCGAATGCACTATAATGACTGATATATGCACTATGATTTCTACTTTATATTTTATTCAAATTTTATTCTATTTTATAGATGAGTGATCAAGTATTAACTCTTTAGTGACATTGTATGTGATGAAAAATGCATGAAAATGCGTTGTGTTCATAACAAGTAAAATAAAAATTTGAGAAATAATTTGCCTATGCTAGATTAGAACCCACATTGGTAGTACATACCTTTCTACCATTTGAGTTAATAGGCAACAATTTGTTTTCAAAGAGACTCACACTTGGACATATTAAATATTATATATGCATTTTAATCTTTTAAAATTGGCATCATTGAATGTCTTTCTAACAAATATTCAAATGTATCAAAAAACATTTTAAATGCATCATTGTTTGGAGAAAATTCACCATCAATGCATCAACTTTGATTCTGAGAATGCATAGTAACAGAACGCATTATCCTTTACCTTGATTTAGGGAATGCATTGTCTTCTCATGTAAATGCATTACCTTGACTCTGATAATGCAATACATAGTGAGATACTACATGATGCAAATCAGAAAACACGCATGAAAGAACTGAAATAATTATTCTTTCGATATCCAAAAGAGAAGTTACTGTATACTAAGTACTAACACCATTCTTGCGTAATCTTGATTTTTATTCAACTAGAAAAAACGAACCCATAATATAGATGCATCAAGGTAGTTTTGTGCGCATACATATATTTCAAGTATTTTCTTAAGACCTTATGAACTCATTTAAACTGGTGAAACCATGTAGTATTCAAAACTCAAAAGAACTCTACAGTATAGGAAATATGCACTGTTTGAGTTGCAGCATGCAGTGTTCCACGAAGTAATCTTTGATCAATCAGATTTCAATTGCAAACTCTCCAATTTCAAAGGAAATAGCACTGTACCATATACATATGTGAAGAAGCATTATAAAAAAACATTATATAGAAACACAGTGCCTCAATTCATCCTTCATGCTAAACAAATCAATTGAAATACGACATTTTGAAGAATACAGTGCCTTAAATCACCCTCCACGCTGAACTCTTACACAAAGCATACGAAGACACCTGAAATCATATCTAAAATATTGTACAAAGTATACATTAATCTCTTGCACAACGGTAATCTATTGCACGCTAAAAACACGATTTTGAAGAATAAGAACAAACCTGAACTCATATCTAATTTTATGAATGTCCAATTCAATACTCTTGCACAAAAACCCTAATGAGAATTTGGTGGTGAATGATTCCATTCTAATAACAGGGTGATTAATAGAATGAAAATCTTGAAACGTAGAAGGAAAGAAAATAGTGATGATATTGGAATGTCAGAAATGATCTGCGATAATTGAGCGTAAAATAGTCTTTGTTGATTATATCGCTGAAAGAAAAAGAAAAATGAACGTGGGTGCGATAGATTATCACTAATTGTGACAATTACTACTCATTCTCGTTTCTTACATAAGATTACATATTCTCACCCGAATCAAATTATATATATATATATATATATATATATCGGTAAGTCTAAAATGACACCAGTGCTACTGGTGTCATTTTAGACTTACCGTGTATGTGTGTGTGTGTGTGTGTATATATATATATATATATATAGACACACACACAGAGAGAGAGGGGGAGAGAGACATACACACATGCATACACGCACCACACACACTGGGTGAACCTAGACTAAAATATGCAGTCAGATTTATAACTTATACCTTTTGTCGTATTTGTTGATAGTCTCTTTACTCTCTTATTCTGTCTTCTAGAACACTTTTGTAACTTGTAGAATGCATTTGTAAAAGGAAATTCTCAAGTCTGAGGTGTGATGTTGATAGTGAATAGCATGCAAAAAGGGTCAAAAGTGATTAATTGAGGTCGTGATGAGATTGCAAGAAAAAAGAAAGCCGTTAGCACTGCAGGATATGTCGATTTCTTATTAACTACACCCTCCACCCATAACTAAAGGCACAGATACTATTTGGGATCTCAATAACTTTTCTTTATTTATGTGTTTTCATTGATCATTTGATAAAATAAAATAGTCATGCCCCCTCTTGTTTTGTAGAACTTTTAATAAAGCTTTTAAATAGGTATGTTTCATTTTTATTTCAGTACTAATTTTTAAATAAAATAATTTTTAAAAGGGTGGGGTTTTGTCTTGCAATCTGAACGTGCCTTTAGTTATTGGATTGAGGGAGTATATTGGATATAGAAGCTATTACAAAATCTGCATATGAAGTTTGAGAGCTTTCTTAGTATTAATACCTAGGAACTTGACTTGTTTATTTCTTAAGTTGTAAGTTGAAACATCCTAACAATGAAAAATGCTGAGCTCTTG